AAAATACATAAGAATTTAAAACAAAATTTATCTATATAAAAATATTCAATAAAAACTATATATAAAAAAAAGAAAAAAATTTATATATGATCAAACTTTATCTAAAAATTAAATTAAAACAATTAAATCAAACTATATAAAATAATTTTTATTGAATATTTTTATTTTTATTTATAAAAAATAAATTATATCATTTATATACTGTATTCTGTATTATAAAAAAGGTATCTTTTATGAGTACGTCTGCTCGTGACCCAAAAAGTAAAATGAGCCAGTACATAACTTTGGATCCTCTTTTACCACTTGTTCCAACACACTCTGGCTTGTTTTTTATATGCAGGCACCTTCCGGGAAAGATGTCCGCACCTTTTTGCCCATCAACACCCACCCCTGCATTATTGAGTCACCGACCACCTTCAAATTCTTTGCAAGGCACCTTCCACGAGAGATGTCCACACCTTTTTCATCATCAACATCCCTGCATTATTGAGCCACCTACTCCCTTCAAATTAATTCCTTGCTTCTTCTTTTTCATCCCAACCCATCTTCACTCTCTTTCATCGATCTTTCCAGCATAAAACTTTCCTCTTTTGGATGTTCTATTTCTGCTAAATCTTCTTGTTCAAAGGCTTCTCCACTTGCATATTCAGCTCCGATCCAGTTAGCATTCATAAGCAAAGCTTAAGGCAAGGGAGGTATGTACGTAAATATATTACATATTTATGCTTCTAATTAATCTCCATATATTTTTGTTTCTTATACTGATTGAAGTAGAACATCTCAGAGCTGCAACCTTCTCATGATTGGTTTTTTTTATCTAAGAGTTAGAATATGAAATTGAGATCTTGGTCTCTACAGACACTACTAATTCCCTCCACCTTCAAAAATTCCTTAAGTTCCCAAAAAAAAAAAAAAATCAATGCAATTCACATTAATTTCCTTAAAATAATGTCATTAGAAAATGAAACTAACACGAAAACGATCAAACAATATTGGCAAAAAAAGAAATTATTACTTTTATTTAATTTTAGTAGTATTTTTGACTTTTCAAACAAATTTTTTTAAAAAAAATTTAGCATACTATATCAATAATAATTAAAATTTTCTTATCAAATCAAACT